ATATGGCCAACATTATGGCTTCATACCAACTTTTTTGTGTTTAGTTTTGAGTTTAGATGATTGTTTTACGGGACTTGCATTACAAATAATTCATATAAGTGCCAAAGATTAGAGGTGTAACTCGAGCGTAACACGCAAAGAAAATAAGGAAGAGAGATATAGACGATAGATATTTGGTAAGAAAGAAGGAGCAAATCGCACCAGAGTATCCGCCAACCACCCACTTTTATCTCAGCTGGCTTCTTTGATATCCATAGGACTTTTTTGCGAAGTATAACGAGTGCATATATATTGCAGTTATTCGACAGCACAACAGTCTTCGAAATATAAAAAGAAAAAAAAGACTGACCAGTGGCGAAGCGTCTATATACTCAAATAATCACTGCTTCCCTTCCAAAATTTTGAAACATTTTCGCTTTCAAATTCACCCATAAACGTAAACCTCATAAATTAAATGATGTTAAAAGACGTTCATAATCAACAATGAGCAGTATGACTAACATTCAAAACGGTTTCACTGCCACAGAAATAGCCTGCTCACCCCTCTCAGGCCACTCCATAAGCAGTCACAAGCTTTGATTAAGTAAGTTTAAAGTGAGGCTGGAAGAGTCTACCAATAGAGTAGAAGGGAACATGTGCATAGCAGTCAAAACTGTTTCATTGCCACATATACCCTGTTCACCCCTTTGGGGCCACAGTTATAAGCAGTCACATGCACTGATTATGTAAGCTAACTATTACACTGGTCGAGTCTACCTCACAAATGTGAGGGGAATTAATTCCTAAAAACCTCTTGACTGCTGCGAGTGCTTGTTTTTTTCCCCTCGACTTTTTACCGTCCTATAATCAGATCGTGACCTCGATCAAGGATCGATTATGACACCGGCTCCTGGCCGCGAAAGGCTATACAAAAACAGCCAAATGTAAAATAAAAAAATGATAATTGTCATGTTCTACCAAAGAGTTAGACTCCCTGGTAGATCTATAACATATAGATCTAGTACTGACATCTCTGCTTCTTTGCTTTGTGTTTGTGCTTTAACATCTAAAGTTAAATTTAGTTTTAGTTGGAATTGATATATAATGAGATACTTTCCCGATTATTTTGGCTGTTGAACATACAATATGAATTCCGGATTTGTTTTCATTCACAACTCAGAGTGCCGCCTCGAGTAAGATTCTAGTGTGATATCTCCAGGTCATATCTGGTTCTATTTCACTTTGATTACCCTGTCATACAAGTCAGCCTACGCCCCTGAGACAGACAACTTAAACGCATAACGTGTCACATAAAGCAGATTTGTAGTGTAAGGGTGCAGTCATAAGTTAAGCATTAGAATGTGCGTGCAGACAAAAACATTATTGTAACTAATATTTTTCAAGTTTCAAGAAAAAGCAGATAAAGTTTAACGCTCGAAGCACTTGTAACATAAAAGTTTTTTTTAATTGGGAAAGTAATTTGTACAACATTGGCAAACACTACAGATATAGTAGGGAAGAGGTAATTAATTCAATCGACAGAGACAAAAACAGACCTTAAAAGCTATACGACTTGTAAGTTTCGGCACTTTCGTTTCCTAGACATGGAAAGAGAATACATGTGCACATAATACGAGTATATTGGATAACAAATATCAACGGTGGTAAAAGAGAACGTTTACTAGCTTAGGCTTACAATGATCAACATTTCTTTGAAGTTATATTTTGTCTCCATAAACGACCCATCACACCCCCTTTTCACGCAAATCATAAAATCACGCAGCGGCTGATATGTACCTCCAAAAACAAAGAAAGAAAGATTAAAAAAAAACAGTTTTTTTACTATCTAGCTTAAGGCTTTTGTCAGAATGAGCATAGATGTGTGTTGCTCTTTAGAGCAAGAATCTTTAATATAGATATAGATAAGTATATTATGTAACTCCAAAGGTCTTGTAATTAAATTCCTGCATGTGGTTAAACGATGCATCTGATGTGAAAGTACATTTTGTCAGCTATACTTCTCTTTTCATATTGAATTTTAATGAGAGTAATATATAATTTAATAATCTAAATGTATATATCTACCTGCATGTATTTTTACGGCCCTGTGCAGCCAAGAAAAATTTCCCTCTGGGATAATACAGTATTATCTTGATCTTATCTTTTCTTAAGTGTTAGGGTGGCAACATGACAGTACGTTTTCCCAATCTACCAAACTGTATCGGATATGTTATCATGTGGCTGTTTTTTTGCTCCGCACGTTCGACTCAACTTCCACCTTCTCCTTTCTCTTCGTGTATATAGGTTTTCCTTTTCTCTTTTTCTTTTTACTTCTCTACTCATTCTGTTCCTTACTTTTGTCCTTTCCTTTAACCTTCCAAATGTTTTTTTTGTGGGCAGAATAAAGCTGTTACCTTTCTCACCTTCACTTTCCGATTTCGCTCTTTCTTTTGTTTCTTTTCTTTTCTCTGTGATAAGTGAGTTTCTTCACATTGTCATTTGACCCATTTGCAATCCCATATATGGTCACATATCCGTTAGTGGGATTTCCAGGGGCAATGTTAAAATACGTGCGCCGAAGTTACGCTCTACGTAAACCGACTTCTGTAGTAATGTACAGAGAGATAATGTGGAAAGCCAGTTTACGGAGGGCGGCCGATCAGCCCACTCACAGCTAGCGCAGCCCTTTGACAGGCGGTGCGCAGTGCCTCATTACTGAGGATTGAACTGGAAGCAGTTGCGTCCTACTCTGGACCTGAAGTTGAGTGACGGCTCATCAAACAGCATCTTGTTCTTAGCCTCACGGATGTCCTTGATCTGTCCCCGGAAAAAACCCACGGTTTCGCTCTGAAGAAGAAAGAAACACAATCTGAATGTGGCATCTATTGAAAGGCCCATCCACCAATGACAAGAGTAAAGCATATCCCTCTCCCACTCCCCTCCCCCCTTTCCAAATGTCTTCGCACATCACGACGATCGCAGCGCCGTTACATATTCCTGAAACCTGAAACACACATTTATGTTTCGACTGTGACTTCCACACTACCACGGGACGGGATGTTGTGCTCTAGGTAAAGAAGTTTAAAAAAAAGGGGGGGGGGGTAGGTTAGGAAATGTACTTTACTCTAACACTTTTCAATTACCCTCACTGGGTTATTTTGGGGTAAAAAGTACCCCGCCCCCCTTCCACCTCCCCCATCTGATTAGGCGATTTCCATTGAAGAATACTTGACCCAGTTGTCAGTATAAAGAGGAATGGATGAAGAGAAGGTGGAAGGAAGGTAAGAAATAAAGAAAACAAAAAGAAAAGACTGTTCACCAATCAAAAGATTTCACAACATGTACCTCGGAGCATATAATCATGTGACTTGGGAAAAAAAAGAAGAAAAACAGAGGTTGTATCATTTTCTGGATTGTAAAGGGATTTTTTTATTGACCCCAAACCTCATGTATGCGTGCAACATTATGTTTACGCGCATGCGGAGAGAGAGATGGAGTGAGAGAGAGAGCAAGAGAGAGAGAGAGAGAGAGAGAGAGCAAGAAAGAGAAAGAGAGAGCAAGAGAGAGAGAGAGAGAGAGAGAGAGAGAGAGAGAGAGAGAGAGAGAGAGAGAGAGAGAGAGAGAGGGGGGGGGGGCAGACAGACAGACAGAGACCGAATATGTCAGAGCGGGAAGTGGATTGCGGTAGTACAGAGGTCCTCACCGCATCGCTAATTATAATACAAATCTATCTTGACACTTAACTCTGGTCAGATCGCTGGGCCAAAAAACTCACCAGTGGTTCCCTGAAGCCACCTATATAGACGGTAGGCTGGATGCTAATGTCGTCACGTTCCAGATAGTCAACGTATCTGTATACCTGATCACCGATCTCTACCACAAGGCCTGTCTGGTCCCGGGAGCGCCTCTGGAAGATGTCCTCCACCTCATACATACGGTACACATGTGCCTGTCGCAGATACCACAGAGAGGATAAAGTCAATTCATAAGGATGGTAATGCGAATGCGATGATATTGAAGACATCTTTTCTTGGTATAATTATAGTGCTGTCGTTTGTGGTCACAGTTGCTCCAGAGAAAGCGTATGTGGCAAAACGTTGAGCCGTTTTTATCAGAACAGATACTTTTTTCTAGAATTTTTTTTGGTGACAATTTCTGACTGGAAATTAATCAAGATTCCTCCTGCCTACTCTACTTTTAAACTCTGGCGACCTCGCTTTTGACGACGGTATAAAGCCTGGTGATGATTGTGTAGATTCTACTTGGTTCTGCTGTTGATGGTAGTTGCAGATGTTTTTGTTGTTGTGGTAGCTGCTTCCGCCTGCGCAGTATTAGCAGGTATAATTACTTTTGACGTAACCTGCAGTGGACCATATGCCAAGTGAACATTGCATAAAGTATCGTCAAATCCCCACATTTGTATTTATTATGGCTTTATACAGTTGGGGGCGGACATATTTTTCTTCATGGAAAGGCAGAGTTTACTATTTTGATAAACTCCTCCATATTTGATTTTCTCTGTTATGATCGTGTTCAGTTTGATGAACCAAAGGCTTCTACGCAAAGCAAAGTAAGATCTTTTTTTGTGTGTACAGTGTACGGATAGCAATAGGACCTAATGAACGTTCAAGTCAAATTTGATGAAACAATGCAGAAGTCTCTTCAGTATAGTATGCAATGGCAACACCATCGCCCAATCCAACCCGATCAGAACTGATTAGCCTCCACAAATTGACTATTGACCAATGGGCATCCGATCTTACCGTTATCCAATCTCCAGTGTCGACGTTCTCCCGAGTTTGGAAAAATCCGCCAAAGTAGCCCTCAACTCCCGTGGGACTTGTGTTGAACAAATGATACGTCAGTTTCCCAGCCTGAATAAAGAGAGCTTCTTCGTCTCCGAAACGACCGGAAGCGTACAGGAGGAGTCCGTTGGGTTGTGTAGTCCTGAACTTAAGACTGTAGTGGATGCTGTCACAACGAGGCAGTGATAATCACATTTGAGTAACAATTACGGAAATAAAAATGTTATATAGATTTACAAATTGTTATCTCTATTCTTTCCCCCAATATTTTTTCATTGCATTCATCTCCCCATCCTCTTTCTCTTTCTCAGCCTACTCTTTCCCCTCCACCTCACCCCCCTCCTTCTCCTCCTCTTTTCCTCCTCTTTCTCATCTCCCCCTACTCCTCTTCCCCTTCGTTCTCCTTCATCCTCTTTCTACCTCCATAATACTGCAAGCATCACCACCACTGCCAACGTATTTGATCCATAACAACCCAAGGAAACGTGCTAATCTAAAACAATTATAACAGTTTGGCAATTTCATATAGACAACAGTTTCAAAAGTTAATGTGTTAATCTAACTTGTTTGTGAATGGGGTTCTTGTTTATCTAGGCAGGGCACAATAATGGAGTATAATACGAATAAACAGAGTAACCTTTCGCTATCACTGTTACTTTTTATGAACTTTTCGTTTGAGAATGTGCAATGTCTAGTACGTTTCAAAACTTACTATTAGTAACCTCCATCAAAGCTACCAATACCATCATCAAAATTAAAAGATAATACTCGTGAATAAATGAACAAGTAAGCATCAAAACAAGATAAAGAAAAAAGCAAATAAATGAATAAGTAAATCAAAAGAGTGGATATGAAAAAACTAATTCATACACATAAATAGAAACTATAAAAAAATAACTATATGTATGAAAACCCTGTCTAAAGCTTACACTGACATACCTGCCATTATTGAGAAAGTTGTTTGGAGTAAAATGAATGTAGGAGTTCGCGTTGAAATCGAAGCAAGGCCCTTCTTCATCAACAGGATTAGCGACAGCAAAGGCTAGCTAGAGGGAATGAAATGGAAAAGTGAAACACAACACATATTATTTCGTTCTAAAAAATAATATTTTGAGTCTGGCAATAACAGTAAATGGTTTTAAGAAAATAATTCTACACAAAATTGGAGGAATGCAGTCCTAGGCGATTATGAAGGAGCCATTCATGTAGATAGATAGATGGATACACAGACAGGCAGGCAGACAGACAGACAGACAGACAGACAGACAAACAGACAGACAGACAGACAGACAGACAGACAGACAGACAGACAGACAGACAGACAGACAGACAGACAGACAGATAGATAGATAGATAGATAGATAGATAGATAGATAGATAGATAGATAGATAGATAGATAGATGGGGATCCAAGAGAAAGTGATGCACGAAGAGAATATTGTAAATAGAAAGGATTTTGGTCCGAGAATACAATGTACATTCTAGCGATTTTTTTTTAAATGGGGGGGGGGGGGGGGGGGGGTACTTTATTCATCAAAATAAAACGTTAAATAATCGACCGCAATCATTGTGAATTTGCTACAGGTCCCCAATAATCAAATTTCTTATTCGTCTGTCTATTCAAATTTCCCTCGAGGCACTTGTTTACTACATTTGCATAATAATATACTATCAATGGACGTCCAAAACACAGACAGACACTGATGAGCAGCGCTCGGCCGTGAAATAAAGCAGGGCACTGGAACACAGCAAACTGTTTCAAAGTCAAAGGAAAAAAAAGATGGGTTTGCTTTCAGTTTTTTCCGAATTAAAAAAAAGGTGGTTCCGCTTTCAGTGATTCATTAAGCCTAAAAAGAAAAAAAATTAGTGAAAGTCTATTAGAGCCCCCCATTCGGATATTACTTGACCCTGTACCTAGTACACACATGAGGTCGCCTTAGGTCGTCGTGACGTCATGCGCTAAAGAAACTTTTAATTTATTACGACATTGACCTTTCTTAGTGCCTGGTTCTACGTCGCGGTACTTTGTCACAATGAAATCTCATCATTTCATATCCCAAAATGTTTATGTTGATTTTACATATAGAATAAAGCCAGATATAAGTGCCAGTACTTGGTTCGTTGAGGAAACAGTTGTAATAAGAATGAGCGTGTCTACTGTGCCATATAATATCCCTTGCATTATGGGCTCAGTTTATGTAACTTACCAATAGACAGAAGCAAACAACTGAGTAGACAATTTCCATATTGCCCCTAAAATAGTTACGATAACGGTCGTGATATTTCCAGCAAAGTGATCAAAGCACAAGCAAATCGTATAGTTGTGTATGCCTTGTCTTATTCTGGGATTCTAGAGTAGTTTTACGCCTTGTTTACACGACTCGGCCCAAGTTCGCGCAGTCTTTTGGGGGGGAAGAGACCCTCCCCCCTCCCAACCACACACTCAAGACTAGTCTTAGGAATAATCTGCATGTCAGTCACCACCCCCTCAGGGAGCTTACACCCACAAAGCGAAGTTACCTGGCGCCAAGCCATGGCAGATAAACACATAAATTTTAGATAGCCCATCTTGATAGCTTTTCATTGCCCGCGTCTACCCTCCACCTTCTTTGCTGTTCTTTTTCTTTGTTGTTGTTGTTGTTGTTGTTGTTGTTGTTGTTGTTGTTGTTGTTGTTGTTGTTGTTGTTGTTGTTGTTGTTGTTGCTGTTGTTGTTTTTCAAAGGGCATCGTTTGGTAATTATTTTATTTACTTTGCACCAAGGTTTTCTCATAAGCAGAGATAGAAAGATCAAACACGTTCAACAGTTAAAATATCTGAGACATTATGATTAAATACGATGAAACGCGTTTCTTTGTAATGAAACGAAGAATTACAAAAGCAAATACGGGTTCAAAGAAATGTGCACAATTAGAAACATCTCAATGAGCACAAATAGAAACATCTCAGTGACTATTACAATTGGAGTTCTAAAAGGATATGCATGGTCAACCTTCTATTTCAGTATGAATGTTGGACGACTACCAAATACACGTGTACAGTGAAATTAAGAAAGAAATAACATTTTGTGGTCATCGGTGTAGTAGACTACATTCTTTTCCAGTGTGAGAGAGCCTGTGTCTACGCAAAAGAAACCCAATGTCCCCCTCATGAATGTTGTTTATCCACCACTTCCTCCGTCTGCCTTGTTTCCTCTCCCCTTCATTGCTCTCGTTGAAAGGCCACTTGATCATGTAATGTGAGCGTGCCATCTCAGCCCTTCGAAATACACCATAGCCTTATGTCGGCGACGTAGGCTAACTTAATTTTACTTTGAACAAATTTTAAGGAGACTTTCGCTCGTCCAGAAAGATAGATTACCGTTTTTTCCAAATTCAAACAGAAATACTTAGCATCTTTTAGAAAAAACTGCCGTGCTTCGGAAAGAACTCTGCTTTGTTACAAAATTATATACTTGTTATTAATACTTGGGGAGCCTAAACAGATGGGTCACAGGGAAAGATCAGGATAATGTCGCCTTTTTTTTTATAGAACATCCGAGCAAAGGAATGAATGGAGGAGCATGATTATCGATGTCTACCGAAGATCTTGGATGTGATTATGATCACGATATTATAATTAGTACTTATCAACAAAACAACTCTCTCCGCCTAGTGTCAATAACTCTTTTTTTGACGGAGAGGGGTTTGTGGATGTGCGCAGAACGTATGGCGGGGAGGGTCGTTTCGACGGTCCTGGTTTTGGAAGGTGAGCAGTGTTTGACAGGGCTGTTATCAGTCTTGGCGAGGTCTTGTTTCATCTGCTCTGCAAGAGATTCTAGATTTGACGCTGCTAGTGCTATCATGTTTCCTCAGCGCTGAGTTCCTTGTATGATAAACAATTACCGCAGAAACCCAGGACAGTCGTTGTTGTTCCCTCTGGAGTATAAATATTTGTGGTAAATAGCGATATATCAAGGACTCCTGACCATCTGGGTTAGTCTGAGATGTGCTAACGAGGCGGTGAAAGGATGTTTATACATTAGACCTTGACTTCGGCTTGTCTGAGGAGATTATTCTACATAATATAATTAGTTTAAGAAGAACATTTTTTGGCCGGGGTAGGGGATTGTTGAAAAGACTGATCAAGAATGTTGCAGGAATTTGAGGTGCATCCCGAGTGTGGTATACAGGCATAGGCTACGTAAAGGACAATGATCACAGGCATTTGCGTGTGAGATATTCACATTGCTGTATCGCATTGAAAAACGAATTTTCATCCTCCACGCACCCTCTCCCAACTCCCGCGAGGGTTTCTTTTTTTTGTTTTTTTGGAAGGGGGATTGGGGATGGGGTGATGTGAATGAACCATGTGTGCCTCATGATGTGTTACAATAATATTCAGCTGCCACATTTACTCCACTGTGTCATTATTTGACGCCTTTTCTTTCATGTGTTGTTTTCTTTTTCCTCACTACTTGTTCGGGTTGCCCGTCTTGGAAATGACTTAGTAGTCACGTTCATCTCAGTGTTAATGGCTATCAAAAACAATCATGTAAACCAAAGAAATGGCACCTATGATGTTATCAAAGGCGGTCCAAGATATTACAAGTGTCGTACAAACACGAAAATTCTTTTTTTGTTGTTGTAATTGACATCGAGAGATTTCTGCCCGGTCAGCGCTCGAGGATCTAGCGCGTGCCTCTATTCGCGTGCGGATCACGTGTCTAAGCGACGCAGTTTATTTCCACATTTCCAGATGAACACAACTCATGTAGACATCCGGCAACTAACAAGAGAACATGGGTTACAATGAGCCAAATTGAATCATTTGAATGCTTTACGGGGGCACTCTTAAAATTAGGATAGTTTCCTCCTTAACAATCTATTTTATAGTGCCAACAAGTATAACAAAAGCTAGAATGCAAGCAGGCCCCTGGTAGTCTGGTTTGGTACCAACAGGTAGTTTGATTGTGGCGATTTAATTCTTTTAAAAATCTCTTTCCACGTATCAACACCACTACATTTTCATGGCCATTTACGTTATAAACAAATGCATTCATTGCGTTTTTGAGGCCTTAAGTTATGAGAATACAAAGATTTCGCTAAGTAATGCTATGATGTGCTCGGAGTGCCAAAATATGAGGATAGTAGGGGGGGGGGGGTGTATACCCAAGCATTTGTTGCTGGAAACTGTTGGATACATGTTTTCTTCCAGAGAATGCTGTGGTCAGTTAAGCATAATTGCATTCAGATGTGTAGTTTATAAAGAAGGTGTTAAATACGAAGACATTTGCTATGATATAGACCTAGAAGTATTCAGTAGTGTATGCTCGAATGGGCATTTAAATGTTATGAGGGAGTGAGTGAGTGAGTGAGTGAGAGAGAGAGAGGGGAGAGAGAGAGAGAGAGAGAGAGAGAGAGAGAGAGAGAGAGAGAGAGAGAGAGAGAGAGAGAGAGAGAATGAGAGAGCGGGAGAGACTGAGTGAGAGATTACAGAAAGTGATAAATCGAGCGAGCGAGCTAGAGAGAGAGAGAGAGAGAGAAAGAGAGAGAGAGAGAGAGAGAGAGAGAGAGAGAGAGAGAGAGAGAGAGAATGAGAGAGCGGGAGAGACTGAGTGAGAGATTACAGAAAGTGATAAATCGAGCGAGCGAGCTAGAGAGAGAGAGAGAGAGAGAGAGAAAGAGAGAGAGAGAGAGAGAGAGAGAGAGAGAGAGGGGGGGGGAGATGGGGGGGGGCATTGCAAACACACGCACACACACACACACAGGTAGAGAGACAGACAGGCAGAGAGGCAAATCGATATAAAGAGATACAGAGAAAGAAAGAGAGGAAACATCAGACATGCCTGCCATAATTATACAGCTTAAGTTGTCTTGCTCTCAAGATGTAACCTCTGCTAAAAGTTTTATTGCTTTTCCCCGGGTCTCTGATTACTGATAAAACATAGCATCATACTATTCTATCCCAAAATGTATTCACAATGTAACGTCGTGGTGAGAAAAAGGCGGCCATCGTAGGCCGACCGGATTAATTTGAAAATCCGATCAATGTGTGATATCACAGTGCTAATATATTTTTTTTAATGGCACATAAAGAATATCGAAGAGATTGATTCACAATGCTGGGAAATTAACCCAATTTACATCATCGTTTCTAGTTTAAAGAGATAAAGAAGTTTATCAATGGCTCTTAATGTCGTGCTTACAACTTTGGCACTATCCTGAATACGCAAATTTTTCTTAATACGGATTCGAGATCTCCACTGGGATCACAACCCGAAAGACAAAACTTCAAAGGGGGACTCTCAGAATCCAAACCTAAACCAGACTCGTATGGGTTTAGTGAGAATCTTAAAACTTCCGCCAGGATGCGAAGAAACCCCAAGAAACACTCAGTGACCGGAAACGGTACGACCTTAACAAAGTTTGTTGTGGGCTTTCGGCAAATAAATAGACAGTGACGTCCTGATCCAGGCCCTGGAGTCATTCTCCCTTTGAGAAGGAGTGCAACTAAATGAAAGATGGCGCGCTGTTAGGATCAGAAGTCACTTCAAAATTATTTGACAATTCAGAAGGATGTAATTGCTTCAACTTGGCCGAAAACTTGAATTTCCTTTGACATTTACCGCTGCCATTTCTTGCAGATATTCACCTCTGCCGTAAGCTCAAGCCTTAAGTGCTGGATTCTTCTTATCTAACCTAGTTTTGCGCAAGCTGGTATACTTATATCTAGTAATAATTTACTTGATATCCAACTTTCTAGGTATCCAGTCCCGTAAAGTCCGGAGGCCAAGCAAATGAAAATTACTTCAGTCTGTGAGTCTGGGGTCATACTCTTGTACTAAACAGATTCTTACTTTGTTAAAGCTATGGTCAGGGTGCTGACCAGGATGTCAAAAGAAAACTATAGTACATGTTATTAGTTGCATGTAACCTCCAAATAACACAAAAGGCGCTATCTTCCTAAACTCGATAATTCAATGTCGTACATACATGCGACATAATTCTAAAGGGACAAACGGTTGTTGTCAAACTTTTGTTGAAACGAGACTTAGAAAACGCTTTGTTACCAATCATTTAGTTTCTATAAATCGTTACCTGTCACCTATACAAGTCGTAAAAGAGATCTTTGCGTAGGAAGTGCTCCCTGCTGGGGGAGAGAGTTTGAGAGGACAGGATCAACCCGCGTGGATCCATCTGCCCAGCTTGGCACAGTCTTCCTCTGATGGCGTCCATATTGACTGTTGACAAACAGACTTTGGCCATGTTCAGACGTTTCCTGTGGTTGCTTGTCAACAAACCAAAGGGCATCGCACGCAGATGGCTAAGAATAGACGCAAACAACAAACTGCAGCCAGTAAACAAAGTGGACAACACTGCGGGTCTCTACGCCAG